AAAAATCAAAAGGTATATTATCAAACAGTGGAGGTCTAGTAATAGGGTAACCTTCAGGTGTATTTCGGATTCCAAATGTAGCAATCTACGTTAATCAAAAAGTAGTTTAAACTTATGATTTTGAAACAATGCTCTGATACCACTTATTGAGTCTAGTGAATAGGTTGTTAAACCTAAGTTAATGTCCCAAGGCTACCAAGAGGGGGGGTGAATTGGTATTTTAAAAAATATCCCTCTTTTGATAAATTGAACCGAAATTAAAATTTAATGAATTTTTGTAAAAAGTTTTTCAATCACAATTTTTAAACAAAGAAAATACAGAAAATAAAAAGCAGTAAAATAAACGACACACGATTTAAAGTGGTTTGGTCTAAACCAGACCTACATCCACTCCCCAGAAGCACCCTCTGAGTATTGCACTAATACCAATAATGTCTCTCCTTTTACACCCACAGCAAGGCGGAGAAGCCTTTACAAACACTCTTTTCACCATAACCCGGTGTGGCAGAGAACTATCGTCTTTTCACACTCTCCTAGTGTGGGCAGAGAATCCTTCATCCTTTCACACTCTCCTAGTGTGGGTAGAGAACCCTTCATCCTTTTACACTCTTCTAGTGTGGGCAGAGAACATTTAGTCCTTTCACACTCTCCTAGTGTGGGTAGAGAACCCTTCGTCTGTTCACACTCTCCAAGTGTCGGCAGAGAATCGGATCTCTCTGACAGATCTCTTCACAAGAAACCTAGAAGGAAGAAAGAAAAAGAGTGAAGTAATCTCAAATCACAAGTAGGAAATCTTACCTTTGAATACTAAGCGAAGCCTTCACGCTCCAGCGGTAGAAATCCTTCTTTGAATGCTCTCTCTCACTCTCTCCTTTACTCTTCTTCCAATAGGCACGTAAATCAATGAGCAAAAAAATTGGGTGACAATCTAATTTGGACTATATATACAAAAGACAAGAAAAACTGCCCAAAAACTATAAGTTTTCAATTATGTACGCAGTAGATCATCCCGTACGATCGTGGATCGTCCAGGACAATTTTACTTAAAGTGTCGGAAATGATCCTAATGTATATTGGTACGAACTGTGTTCGTACACTCTCATCGTCCCGTACAAACTAGGTTCGTCCGGTACGAAACGGTTATTACATAGGTCGGTTCCCAAAATTCTACAGGACGTAACCAACTGAGGTAAGTCGATTCAGTTCGTCCTGGGATGAACAGGTTTCATCCTGGGACGATCTCATACAGAGAGTTTCGTCCAGGGACGAAGGTTCATTTTGTCCTGTACGATCTCATACAAAGAGTTTTGTCAAGGGATGAAGGTTCATTTCATTTGGACGAACAGTGCAAGGTGAGAATCCACTGACGTTCGTCCCGGGACGAATACAAAATTCGTCCTGGACGATTAGGACTTAGAAAATTTTCTACCCTCCTGTTCGATCCATTACTCCCTAGGGGTTAATTCACATGATCGTCCCGTACGACGAGTTCACAAAAATTGTCCCCCAAGAGTGTGTGTTGTGATTTTTCACTCAATTACACTCACTTCCTCTCATTTAAAAACTTATAATTTACAAATTAATAATTTGAAGTCTTCATCGCTTGGAGTTGATTTTTCCTGAAATGTTAGTACACACTAGAGAAAAAACAAATCTTCCAAAGAGTGTTATGAGATATATAAAATAATAATATTTAAAATCATCAAAACAATACAAGTTGCAATAATGTAAAACATGCAAAGGCAACTCTCTCTACACATTACCTATCAAGTTATTTAAGAACCATGATAAACACCTAGGGTTATGATTTTACCTCAATAGTGATGGTCTTAGTAGGTATTTGATGTCTAGTCTTGTTCATCTGAAGCTCATCTACAACTTTACAAAAAACAACAAGCTTAGACTAAGGCTATATGAAGAGTTGGATGACTTGGGATAGGCAAGGCTTTAGTTCTTCGTCAACCCAATCACAGGCATGCTTCAAACAACTGAGAAATGAACAAAGTGTGTTGAGGAGTCTCTAGTAATGCAAGAGAAAAGAAGAGAGGGTTGGAAGAATATTGTACAATGAATATAGTTCAAATGAAATCTTTTGTTAGGCTAACCTATTCCAATTACAAGAGGTGCTGAGGAAGGCTAAGATACATTAATTGCCTAGATGCTTGAAAAATAGCCTAGGTCATTATGTAGCAGCAAAATGAGCAGGGTAGTTGGAAAACAAACTTAGGACATTTTCTTATTGGAGTGGAATTAGGGTAAATTAGGGTTTACTAGGGCTTAAGTTAAGTTTTGATGATGATTATAAAGCTTTTGGAGTTAGTTTAAGCAGCTAGATGAGACGTCATGCAAGGGAAATGGGATTGAATAAGAGTGCTGACCATTTATACCTTATTTGAGGTATTTATTGACTGTTTAACAAGTCAACTAGTCAATCAATTACTGATGTTGACTTGAAGAAATGTAAGGGTATTGTTGGGATCTATATCAAATGGGTTTGAGTGAGTGGGGTTGATGTTTGAGTAAATGAACGATGGTATGGTGGAGTTTGACCATGTCAAACAAACCATGGTTTGACTCATAGTGATTTTGGAGGTGTTTGAGCTAGAAAGAAGCCTTGTAGATTTAGATGTCTTGAATGTAGAGTATATAATGGTTTGACCCAATTGAGATTGATTTGACCAAACTTAAGCTTAGTTAACCAAGTCAATATTCGACTGAGCTAGGATGACCAATCAGGACCAGTTTACTAGGAGTGATGACCAGAGAAGTTTGATGAAGATCAGGGTTCATTTGGAGCTTGATTGATACAGAATAGGATTAATTATCAATTGAGCTAGCTTGGGATAGATCAACTTGGTCAAAGGGTTAGTTGACGACTGAAGGATCTAATAATTTGTGGTATACTTTATGATTGGGCCATGACTAAGGTCAAGGACTCAATGTAGTGTGCAAGATTGTGCACTGGACTACCTTATTATAGTATAGGGCTGTAATTGTGCAGTTGATTATAGTTCAATGTTATTGACTATAGAAGTGATGATTGTACAATGTAATTAGATATCAAAAGTTAATTAAAGTTTGATTGAGTGTATGTTGATTGATTGCTTTAAGATGATTGAATGTGTGTATGTTGAAGATCTTAAGATAATTGATTATGAATCATAAAGTTGTAAATCAAGTGACTTTATATCATGATTTATTATAAATCAAGGTGATCCGGAAGATGTGGATCAAGTTACCTTAACTACAAGTGAGGTTAACACCTACTACTGTCACTTTGACATCTATCACAGGACAACAGTTTGTTCGTCATCATTTGCCTAACTACATTCCCTCTAACCTCTGTCGCTCACTGTGATCTCTCCTACCATAATTGCTGGCTAGGTACGATTCCTTTGACCACCGTTGTATGACAACGGTCCCGACGACCTCTATAACTAATTATGATCTTACCAACTTAACAAACTTACCAATATTCTGTTGAGAATAAATCTCATATCATTAGATTCTTGTAACTCTAACTATGTAATATGCCCTACATGATATATATTTTATGCGTTTTGCAACGCCTTCCCCCGAAGAACGACATCATTTGTAATCAATGAATAATGCTAGTGAAAATTTTTCAATTGGGCAAGACCTCATGCTTTTTACTTTTTCTAGGTGTTTCTACATAAAAATTATGGTGACTCTTTATAAATGTTTCACTCCTCTATCTTATAAGTGTGCTTGATTTTCATATAAAGCTAAAAATGCTAATATATATATATCTATATTGTCGGGAATGCTCTGGCACGTAGAAATTGTAATTTAAGCTCTTTGATAAGAATTTTTTTTTGCTCAATACACAAAATGGAAAAGACATGAGCATTTATTTATGCACGTGTTTATTTCAAATGATTGAATTTGTAAAAAGAATAGTATAAAATTGTTTTCTGTCAATACTCAATTTCATGGATCCTTTATAATTTCTCACATCTGTGTACTTTCATTATTACAAATATTATAATATCATACATTTGTTATATGTATAATACGGGGTATAAAAATTGGATGGCTTTGAAATACAATTATATCACATTGCTTTATACTGGTCTCTTCGAGATAAAATGGTTGATTGGTACTTCTTTAGCAATTGTTGCCTTTGTTTTAGCTGCCATTTCTGGTTTGTGAATTTCACTATACTTATGTTGTGCTTGTTCGGCTCTAAGGGTGTTTGATGCTGAACTTGTCTTATCTACTCGAGAGCCTCACCACTGTGAGATTTTTTTTTAGGCAATGATATTTACAAACATTAATGTATTTTTAAACAATGCTGCTAACTCTTGATTTGGCCGTTTTCCTTTATTATGATATGTGATTTTCATGCCTGAATAGTCGACATATTATTACGAGCGAAGTTCAGATCGGAGAATCGGGTGATATTCATGAGTGTGCGCAATAAAAAAGCAATAAAAAGTCAAGTTATTTGTCATCACTATGCTTTTATTGTGCATACTCATAAAAACACGGAGCATGTGTTTCGATTCGAACTTTTCACGTAATAATCTCTCCTCGGTAGTTACTTGTTTTCTCTTGGCAAGTCTTAGAAGATTAATATTTATGCATAGTGTTGAACTAAATCCAAAATCTTGCTTTATGATTCATTATGATTAATCTGCCCTCTAATTTAATCTACTTTTCTTTTTTTTTTAAAAACATTTTTTTAGATTAACTTTTAAATAAATATTTCTTTAGTACGGGACTAAATTTTTTAATGATAGGAATATAGGATTATATTTGTTATTATTTTTCGTGATTAATTTCTGAACAAGCCTCATTTTTCAAAAAGCAAAAAAAAAAAATTACAAAAAGTGTTTAGATTTTTAAAATCATAAATTATAAATTAAAACTGAACTCTTTAATATTTTAATCTAAATGTCTTATGAGAATCTATTATGTTGAAAATAATATACATTAAATTTCGAATAAACAATAAACTAACGCAATAAAATATGGACTTCTCCTCGGGATGCTCTTTAATGGGCTTACTTCTTTTGGCATCGAGCTCAACGTCTCCGGAATGTCGGTTCCATCTGTAGATGATAAGGCCGGTGGTGCTTCCGTCCCTTCCCGTTGCCTAACGAAGCACCTTGCCGGTGCCATACCCCTCGCCATACTCCTTCTCTGGTCTGCCGACGCTTTTGTTGTCCGCGGCTGCTCACGCCCCTTGTACCTCCAACTCCGCGATTACCTCGGCCCAATCTCCACCAAATCCTTCTCTACAGCTGCAGCTGTTGCCTCCCCGTTCCCGATCCCTCCAGCATTTCCCAAAAGATGGATCTCCAATTTCAGTTCTCTCAATTACACCTCCAAAATCATCTCCCGCTGGCTAACCCCAGGTGGCGTGGCCTGCCGCGACTCCCACACCGCCGCCATCTCCATTCCTGCTCTCCAATCCTCTTCTCTTCCCGTCTTCCTCACCGCCGGAGACATCCACGAGTTCACATTCCTTGCCCTCGACGTCTCCCTACGTCCCCGTTGCCTTGGCGGTGATTACTTCGAAACAGACCTCTCAAGCGCCTCATGGAAATCCCGGCCCCCCATCCTTGATCATGGAAACGGCTCATACACTTTCCGTCTCCAGCTCCACCCACGTTTCGCCTCCGAAAACGCTACCTTTACCCTCTCCATCGTACTGCTCTTCCGCTCCTTTGACGGCCTTAAGCTTTCCCCCGACCGCTTCTCCCTCCGCCGTGAGCTCAGCCGCATCACTATCAAATTTCTCCTCCCTCGCCCATCTGGCGACCTTCCCGACCTTCAGATCTGCCGCGCTTCTGACTTCTTTCTCCCAGCGTGGTCCGGCCGCTGGACCCGCCTCACCCGAAACGACTCCTGCGCTGTGGACCGCGCAGGGCGCTACCGTTGCCTTGACCCTGCTCTACCCTGCGAACGTCCGTGGTGTGCCGGATCGCTCGCCGCCCTCGAAAGTAACGGCTGGGTTTACTCTGCTCACTGCGCCTTCCGTCTCTTCGACCATTCCTCGGCCTGGCGATGCCTCCGTGGCAAATGGCTCCTTTTCTGGGGCGACTCTAACCATGTCGATACCATCCGCAACCTCCTTAATTTTGTTCTAGGCCTCGTAGACATTGATGCTGTCCCACGCCGCTTCGATCGCTACTTCAGCAACCCCGGGAACGATTCCGAGACTCTAAGAATCACGAACGTTTTCAACGGCCATTGGAACGATAGCCTCAACTACCTCGGCCTCGCATCACTTCGCAATCCCCCCTTCCGCAGTCTCCTTTGGAAATACCTGGACGAACCCGGCGGCCGTTCCCCCGACGCCATTGTCCTCAACTCAGGCCTACATGACGGAATCTACTGGAAGAGCGTCCGCAGCTTCGCTAATGGAGCGGAGGATGCCGCCAGATACTGGGAGGCGCTAATGGCGCGCGTGCACCGTAAGCAGCCAGCCGGTGAAGCGTTTCCAAGGGTTTTCTACCGGACGACTGTCGCCACCGGCGGGTTTGCGAGGGATATGGGTTTTAATCCGTGCAAGATGGAGACTTTTGATGGGATTTTGAAGGAGAAGCTGGCGGCTAGGGGAGTGCTGACCGGCGGTGTTGTGGACGAGTTCGACATGACTTTCCCCTGGCATTACGATAACCGTTGTAACGACGGTGTGCACTACGGCAGGAAGCCGGCGATGACTAAATGGAGGGACGGCCAGATTGGCCATCAGTATTTCGTTGATCTCATGCTTGTCCATGTTCTTCTGAATGCGTTTTGCAATGGCTGATGAAAAGTTTTTTTGGTTAATGATATTTGTTTTGAATGATATTGTGCGCTTGTAAATTATAGTTGGAGATCTTGTTATCATCTGTTGAAGTGTATTAATTCTGTATCAAAATTAACGCAAGCAAGAGATATAGAAAAGAACATTATAACAGAAATTCAGGGTAACTCAGATGTATTCCCTCGTAGTATTTCCTATGTCGTTCAATACGGTATTCGAATAGAAAAGTATACATAACTAAGAAGATTAAGATCCAGCCATTGGAATAGCATTTTGCTGAACTGCTTAGATGTCACATGGCGGCTAAGGTTGTTGTTGTTGTTGTCAGGGCCAGGAAGCAGTGATAGTGGAGATTATTTAGACAATGATTCTACCATTATTAGTAGAACGATTAGTTACATAAACGTCATCAACCTCCCCTCAAATTAATGCTAGCAGAAGTGAGCGTTAATTTGTCCCGAAGTAGAAGAAGGGTTTTGTTGGCAATCCTCTGGTAAATACATCCACTATTTGATCTTCAGTAGAAATATGAAGAGCAATATCTAATTTGGATTTAATGCATTCACGAATGTACTGATGATTTATTTCATGTCTTTGAAGACGGGATTGTTTGTGATATTTAGCTGAGACATTGTCACAATAAATTGGAGTAGGTTTGGTAGAGAGATTTGAAAATCTCAAAGTAATCGGCACAGCTTCATGAGCTCAATGGCAGATAATGTAAGAGCTCTATATTCAAATTCGGTAGAAGAGCGGGCAATTTTTGCTTGCTTTTTTGGCACAACAACTGATAAGAGTATAGACAAAGAACACACAATAACATGTGGTAGATTTTCTATCTAGTTTATCGCTAACCAAATCTACATTTATGCAATAATTTCTTGTTTTTCTGGTCGAATTGGTAGAGCAAGATGAAGAGTACCTTTGATATAATGTTGGATACATTTAATCATATGAAAATGATGATTTAATGGATGATCTGTGTGCTGACAGATAAGCTTAATAGCGAATGAGATATTTGGGGGAGTTTGGTTAAGGTATTGTAGCGGTCCAGCAATATTGCGAAAGAAATGAGGGTAAAAAAATGGTAAAAGAGCTGTCAGAGACATATCAGCTTTGTTGGCAAGTAGGTTTTGTAAAGGTTTACAATTTCCATTCTTCCACGATTTAAGATTGTTGTTGCATAATTGAATGTATGTAACAGAAATGTAGAGGTTGATTTGTCCACAAGCAAACCGAGAAAGATATGAATGTGATTAAAATTTTTGAGTTGGAATTGCTGCTAAAGATCTTGCAATAGTAAAGAAACAGAAGTTGCAGAATTTTTCATGAACAATATATGATCGACATAAATGAAGAGATAGAGAGAGATAGAAGATGATGTGTGAAAGTTTGTTAGAGATGTTAAGTCTTTATGAACTAGCCTGAGGCTAATTAAGAGAGGTGAATTGATATTTTAAAAATTCTCAAACAAAATTCATGATCTTAAACCAAAGCAAACCAACATTCGCTGGAAATTAAATTGTGAAAATTAAATATGGAATTACAATAACAATGAATACACCATATTTTATAGTGGTTCGTGTGAGAAAATTAATTCTACCAAACTTTATTTTAAATATTATATATTTAAATTTAATTTTAAAAATAAATATAATGACTTATATTTTAATTTTATCAATATTATCTTTTTAGTTTTAAATATATATATATATATATATATATAAGAAAGAAATGGTTATTTTTATATTTTTATGAATATAAAAGAAAGAAGAGAAGGAGAGGAGAGGAAATTTTAAAATTTATTTTTTTTATTTAAAATAAATTATAATATATATATATATTTATTTAAGTATTTAAATAGTTTGCTTTATTTATATTTTGAATAATTCTCTTTCAATTAAATCCGTATAGTCGGATATTAGACCGCTCCGAAGGCCGGGCTAATATTCTTCTATTGATTCTAAAGAAAGAGAACGAGATTCACTTTCCTAAGCAGGTATAGTGTAAGGAATATACGAATCATCCTATAGGATGATTGATATCTTTCCTATCTACCTAATTAGGCTAATGAATTATTAATTCATTCTTGGAATCAAGTATATAGACGATATTTGATTTACTCGTGAAAGTAAATAAAATAACTATCTATTTCTTGATCAGCATGAATTTAAACAAAATTTGGATAAAGCAGGATTTTTTTTTAAAAAAGAGGTTTTATTCTCTCACAAGATTCGCTTTATTATTTTTTAAGAAGTCCTCTCCTGATTAAATCCACATAGTTGGATATTATACCGTCCCAAGGGGCGGACTAATATCCTTCTATTTATTTTAAAGGAAGAAGCATATAGTTCATTCTTCTAATCAGGTATAATATAGGGAATATTCAAATCATCCTAAAGGGATGACAGGTATATTCCCTAATCGACCTGATTAGATCAATGAAGTGTGAATTTATTTCTACAATTAAATATATAGGACATTTGATCTGCTTATGAGAGCAAATCAAATATCTATATATTCTTTAATTATAGAAATAACTTCCCGAATACGAATAAAGCTTAATCTATGTCCATAGATCTTTCCCCTACCCCAGAAAGGAACTAAGGTAGGGTTTAGATTATTCTAGGGTCTAGACTCCCTATAGGGGTAAGCCCCTATAGTTAATTACATCTCATAAGAGAATACTCTAGATTTAAATAAAGACTAATTAGTTTCAAAAATTATATATAATTTTAATCGAATATTTAGGCTAATTTAAATTTTCACGATCAGGCTTTAGATTATAGAGTTTAAGGTTGAATTTAGAAGAGTTAGAGTTTATTAGAAAGGATGTGCAGAGAGAAGTGTATACGATATGGACTTATCACCTGCCTATAGTGGGCTGCCAGCTAACAATCCTAATCACAATAATTCGCCGATGATGCAAGAGTTAAGATGGCTCTATCCTAGGAATCAAGGAGTGGTTTAAGGATCTTAAACCGTATGCAATTGAATATGCTTATAAAAACCAAAAATCTACACAAATGCTAATGATGCATGAAACAGATATATATATGAAAGAGCTGATTTTATTAATATTGAATTTATCGATTACATCTCAGAATTTGCAGTAAAGTAAAGGTGGCCAGGTCACCAACAACAAACCTGGATTCTAAGCCTACGAAAAAGTAGAATTAAATATAACTACTTATGGTCTTCAGACTCCAAGTCTTCTATGGAATTCCAAAAAGGAACGTCCTCCTGAGGGAGGATATTACTTTTTAGAGCCCCATTTGTATGTATATAAGCAATTATTTTTAATTCTTTTACAAACTCCAAACGCTGTACAGACTCAATCTATATACAATAATTCTAGGAAAATAAAGCTTTGCATTTTCATTTATATCAGTACATTAGACCCTAGGAACATTCTACTATTACAGTAATATAAAAGACAGAAAAGTAGAAGCAGTTGTATATCTATGCATGTTATGAGTGCATTGTGTACAATTATATATGCAGGAAAGTAAAGACAGAAAAGTAAAGTACACGGCCCTCACTTTATTCACTCCTCGCTCTGGTGTACAAAAAGTAGATATGCATGTTATGCAGTACAGAAAAGTAAGCAATCACACATAGGTGCCCTCTAGGAAAGACACCCGCAAACAAAACACAACAAACCATCATCCTAACCTAGGCTAGAGTTGGTTGTCCTAGCAAGCATCTAAGTGTGTGAAAGAGGTCGTATGGCTTGGATAAGTCCTATATGAATTATTGTTCAAATTACATATATTATTAGAGTTTATTTATTTAGAGGCCAAATGAGAATTTAATTGAAATTAAGTAGAGTGTATTTGAATTTTGAATTATTTCAATTTTAGATGTTAAAATTATTTGATTTAGTTATAAAGAACTTATAGATTGATTATTTCCTAAGTGCAGGAAATTATCAAATTATAAGTCCTAGGACTTTCAAAATGCACACTCGTCTTATAAAGAAGATGATTGTTCGATTTGAAAATCCCCGAAATTTTATTAGAGAGAGAAAAAGGGACCTTATAAATGTAATACCACGTGCCCTCCCGAAGGAATCTAGCATGTCGTATAAGGTCGGTGTATTATTATATTTGTTTGAAGATCTCCAAATTCAAATGTATTAGTGCCTTCCTAAAAGGAGTCATGCACAACACATGAGAGATCTTTTGGTTATTTAGATGCATTAAGGGTCTTTTGAAATCAAAATGCCTAAAACCCTCCAAAAGGAATCAAGCTTTAGGCATAAAAGACCTTAATTTATTTAATCTAAATTAATTATCAAATTTGATTGATTAAGATGAATCTTAATCAATCAAATTATCAAACCAATTTAGTTTAAATAAATTAGAATTTAATTTAAAAATTAATGAATTTTATTATAATATTCAGAATTTTGAATTATTTATTGAATATTTAATGACTTGAAATTGATTTAGAGATTAATTTTAATTTTTGGGTGAACACCACCTTTGTTGCTCACCGAGGCCGTGAAGTTTATTTCACCTTCCTTGGGGCTAAGTTAATAGCCTCGTAGGCCTGGGTTACCTAGTGGTACCCGGTATAATTAAGTAGCTTAAATTGGTTAAGAATTAAAAGTTAATGAATTTTATTTATAAATGTTTGATTGCTAGTTTTAGGAGTTAATTAAGCATTTCTGGAGTTTTAGAGCAAATTTTGAGTTTTTAGGAATTTTGGAATATTTTAATCATTTAATTAAGGGGTCAAAAATTGACTTTTTATTTAAGGTTAAATTATGGAAAGTTAGCATTTTACTAAAATATTAGACCTTAAGACGATCAATTAGAAGGTAAGTATGCTGAAATTAGATTTTTCTGGATTTAGTTATGAAGGTTTGAAGTTTTAAACTAGTTTTGACTTAAGGTTCACCATTTTGTTGACTTTTTAGATTTAATGATTTTATATATATATATATATATATTTGATTTAAAATGAATTTATTATAATTTTAAAAGATTTAAAGGTTTATTAAGGGTTAATTAAAGGTTTAATGAAATTAGTGAAATTTGAATCTGTATTTTGGTTTCAAAAGATTGAATGTTTAATTTAATGCTGATTAGAGTTAGATGAAATTTATTATGGATTTATATGAGTTTATTTAGTTTATTTGGGTTTATTAAA